CTCAGGGGAATCATCCGGGGAAGGGAAAGAAAAGCCACAAAGAGAATGGAGCATTAAGAATGGGACACACCTCTTTTCAAGCTCACTTTGATACCTGTCTCCATCACTTCTCTCCTTCCTCCTCTGTTTTTCTTTGAAGATGTATTTAAATTGCATAATATTTCAAGGTTTAAAGTACATTTCCCACAATGATTTTCCTAAACAATTTTCAACTATTTTCAAACTTTTGTATTTACCCATCATCATATAGTAGACTTGTCTGTTACAGACAGCAATTGTGAAAGCAATTCAAAGACTATATTTTGTGTGTACTGATAGTCCTAAAATAAAGATTTTTTAACTTAGAATGTTTTATTAAAATGAAATATAAAAAAGATCTAAAGCCTTCTGAATGAATGTATGGGAAGAATACCTAGTGTCTGTCTTTATTCAGTTTAGATGACAAATTTGCTTTTAATATTTAGCTATATAGTAATATAGAATAGTTCTTAAACTCTTATTGTATTAAAAACAGCCAAATCACTTGTGATTACCTGTGGGTGCCCAGCACCTCCTATAAGGATGACTTAGATGAATATTTTACTATTAATTCATGTAGTACTTTGAGAATACTTTTTAGTATTTTTCTTCCCCCCAAATTAGAAAAGCACGAACTTGTTTAAAAAAAAAAGCGAGTGAAAATATTGGCTGGAGAAAGAAAAAAACCTTAAGCAGTGGGTATAAACTACATTTTTTTCAGTGATAAGGTGCCAGTACTGAGCTACTGGGAGCTTTTGGGGACAACATCAAAATACAGTTCTGGATAGTCAACGTCATCTGTGAAATTAATATAATATGCCATAAAAAAATTTGATAAGTAATAACATTTGCAACTGTACTATTATAAGGTCACAAGTGTTATTGATCTAAACTGTTTCAACACACAATTTCTTCTTCCCTCTTCCACCAGTATAACACTATGTACTTAGGTCCATTATGGATGCTTGGAGGATTACATCTTCATTTAAAGCATATGACATCTGTCACTGTCTGGGACAGAATACTTGATTAGTGGGAGCACTGGACTGCTTTGCTATGGCTGTACCTACTGTTTTATGTCACAGTTACTGTTGTAGTGCATACTGCATACAGACAACATTGTGTTAGAAAGGTTTTGTCAGCACATGCAGGGGATGTCCACATTAATCATGAATGGCAAAGCCAGTGATTTATGCATGTCATCCCAAATGCATTGAGAAAGTCTTCATCCCACCAACAGGACATCAAGAATGCTGCATTTTGCAGGAAATGGGTTTGTTTTTACTGCAGCTTCCTGTTATCCCCTCAACTCTACAGACAAATGCCTCAGTTACCAAAACCAGAACCACTTTACAGGGTTCACAAGAAGCTATAAACCTCTCTCTAAATGACCTCAAACAGGGTTTCACAATGAATTTCGGAAATTTAGAGTCAATAATTTAGACCTGCCTTTTGTGAATCATGCTAGCAAATTTGGGTTTGCCCTGTACAATGGTATAAGACTGCCATTTTTAAAGATATTGGATCTAATAAACTAGCACTGGAGCAGGATTGACTAATACCCTTTCAAGCCTTAGGAAGCATTTCTCTGGCAAGTGCTTTAAAATTATTTTTTAAAAACTAGCAATTTAAAGCTGCTCAAAGTTTTGGGATCTCTCGTGGGAAACAAATTAGTGGGCAGAGGGAAGATTTACAGGCCAAAAACATCATTTGTCACACAGGTTTGAGATGCATTATATAGATATTCCTACATGGGTAGCATATATGTATAAATGCACACATATATTTACACATGCAAACATTTGCCTGGAAGAAAATGCCTTTTTGTGTTGCATAACAGGGTTGCATCTTACCTGAATTAGGCGAGATGTGTAAACTGCTCATGTCTTTGGACAGGCCATTAGTTTTGGGACTGGAGATGGGTGCACAAGCTGATGTAGCTCGAGGTGGCCTCTTTCCAGGGACTTTCACAGTGGTTCTCAATAGATCAATTTCCTTCCCATGAACATTCTGCATGTAGTCCTGCAGAGAAACAAAATGACATGGGGAGAATGGTGTGAATGAAGTTCCAGATTATAGTAACATATTGGGAGTCAGAGAATAAAAAGTATGAATAACTTTTTGTAAAACTCTAGCTTGTAAAGCATATAAAAATGAATTAACAGGCTAATCCTACCCACTTTCCAACCTATCTTTTTCTTAAGATTCCATACCAAAACCACATCCCTATTCTTTAGGAGCAAGGCTTTTGCACATGTTGACTAATGTGAACACATTCAGAAAAATTCTCTAAAACTCCCCTGGGACTCCTCAGTTCAAAATGGCAGAAGAGGAGAGCCTGGCTCTCAGCCACACCAGCTTTCTCTTGTATCCCCCTGAAATTTAGCTGGGTGGCAGGGGCAGTGACATAAAAGTAGGCAGGGCTTGGAGCCTGGGTTGGGGAAAGTCTGTGCACACCCAGCTCTCAGCCCCTCTGACTTCTCCTTGCCATCTTAGCCACTCAGCTGACACAAAGCAGTCTGCTGTGCTGCAGTGGCAAAGGTCATTAGCCTTGCTGTGTAGCCAAAATGCCCCACCTCACCCTACACTAGAACTGCAGAGTGAGAAGCAGGTAGGGAAGCCCTGCCCTCCAAATCTACTCGAGCAGCTGCTGGGGAAAAGTGTGTAGACATTCAATCTCCAGAAGAAACTCTTCTGGGGGTGATTTAGCCCTAGTTGCTCCCAGATTACTTTTCTCCCAGATTAACCATTTTTGCTCTGGGAGAAAAAGCTTGAATGTCTGCACACTTTGAGGTTCTTCCATGAGAACTGTGATTCTCCTGGTAGAAACTGAATATTTGCATGTGGCCAGAATCTCATTTTACTACGTCCTGGGTAAGAGATAAAGAGCCTAGTTCTATTTACAAAACAACAATTTGGTATAGCCTTCATGTTCAGTGTCAGTTTTGCACAAATCAAAATACAGTAACAGAAACATAATTGAGCATTTATTGCTTATGGGCTCTAAAATGAAGCTTAATCAGATAGTGACTCAACCTCAGCATGTGTTCTTTTAATAGACACGTTTTATTTAACATGCAATATCTAATGTATTTTATTTACATTTGTTAACAGAGAAATTTAAAGTCTTCATTGAAAATTCTCAAACTAAATGGAGTATACAAATTCCCAATTAGCTTTCAGTTTATGAAATATCATGGTACAGTGATGTATGAATAAGTCAAGAATGAGTAAGAGAATGTTGGTAAACAGGGAATATACATGCTCTTGGCATATTATTTCATTATTAATTGAGGAAGCCCAAACAAAACAGAAGCTCTTACAAGTACTAAATGTCAGCTTAAGTTGCTTCTATTAATGTACTAAATGCAAACAAAGACTCTTGGGTACAAAAGAGTAATCTTGTGCATCTCCCTGGGAAGGAGAATGGAAGTGGTGGACTTCCTTGCAGTGGAATGTCAGCTTCCTCTCATCCCCCCATACCTACCTTTCTTAGATCTGCACTTGGGGAATAAAAGTTAAAATTATAAAATAATGTAGCAACTTCAAAAGTGCAGTGCGGCTTGATCAGATTAGAACAGATGAGGGTCTGGCTGTCATCTGGAATATGCTGTGTTAAAGAGAAGACAGCAAACCCGATTTTGATATGCAAATGTTACACATATAACTCCCCTAGATGTTAGTTGTAGAAAATGCTGATCTGAGAAAAAGGGGGAAAAAACCCTTTAACAAGGCATGAGGGTAATTCAAAGCCAAGTACTTTTAAACAGCACTTAACAAGTCCCTAGAGCCCACTCAACAGCGGGCCACCCCAGAAGTGCCATCTTCTGCCCCTCAACAGCTTGAAAAAGTAGTAATTGCAAATCCATTTGCATTTTTCTTCTCAAGTTGTCCATGTTCATCATTCAGCAGTGTTAAAAAAAAAAAAAGCAAGCACCAGAGCAAAGGGAACCCTCCCCAAATGCGTCAATAACAAGATAACTGAGTGCCTGAATCCCCAGAACCCATGCTCCTGCACCTTTGCCATCACTTGTTTTTTACATTTCGCTCCTAATTATGTTGCATCTATTGCCATACACTTAATTAGCTGCATTAATGTGATTTCTTTTCACATAGTCAAGCAATTAAGAGCTATGATTGAGTTTCATTCAATTAGCCTCAACAAACATGCTAATTGATGTCCCAGATGCAAATGAGGTGCAATGAGAGAAACCTGCTAGCAATTGAGAGTTGTGTCAGAGAGACCCACAGCTCTCAGCTTGCTGACAGAAGCACAGCTTAACATGGCTACCACCTTCTGTGGAGCTGCCTTTTGAGGGGGAGAGAGAAGCCATTAGTGCCTCAGTGTACCAAATAGATCCCTACAGGAATAACGTGCAGCACTGAATCAAATCAATGTTGTCTCCAATTCTCAGAGCAATGGCTGATAGCAGCACAATAAGTGAAAAATGCATAGCTTTTTGCTAGTGTGGTAGGTACAACCAATATTGTAAACACCACATGTACACAATTTCTTTATCTAAAACTAAAGAAAACCCTCACATCTCATCTCTGAGCTTGTGAAATACTACATAGGTAATGGCCTACAGTTATCAGTAACTGGTGACTTCATCTTAGTCAGCTTTGGGGCATGCTGGTATTTGAAGTTAAGCCCAGAACACATCAATCAATCAATAATCCCTAAAAATACACTCTCTGTATTGATTCTCATAGCTTTTCTTCCTGAGGTTACCTTTAGCAGTCTGCACAAATATAGTGCTGCTGAAGTGTTAATTTGACTACTCCAGGCCAGGGACCATTATCTTTAGGACGAAATAAATTCCTATCATGTCAGTGTTGTTTTTAAGCACCCATTTGTGGATGATGCAAAATGTTGTTTCACTACACCAAAAAATAAACTGCTCCCAGTCAGAAAACATGAAAGTTAATGCAAACTAAAATAATTTTAATTCATAGATTCATAGATGTTAGGGTCGGAAGGGACCTCAATAGATCATCGAGACCAACCCTCTGCATAGGCAGGAAAGAGGGCTGGGTTCAGATGACCCCAGCCAGATGCCCATATGGCTAACCTCCTCGTGAAGACCCCCAGGGTAGGGGAGAGCACCACCTCCCTTGGGAGCCCATTCCAGATTTTGGCCACTAACTGTGAATGCTTAAATACAAGCTTTCTTTTAGAATAACAGAATAGAAACACATTAACTAACATGAAAATGATAGCAATCATTTATACAGGCACAAGAGACCAAAGAAATGTCCATGACTTTTCAAAATACACCTGTTCTTGAGAATATTTTATGTTGATATTTAAGGATGCTCCCTACTCACAGGAAAATACCAACAGTGAAAGTGTTAACAAAATGTTGGCACAGGCCTAATGTTGGGTTCTGATTTAAAATATAGCTTTAATGGTGACATATCAACTGTATTTACATTTTTAATAAAAATATAATATACACATTTACAAGCAATTCAGTTCAGCTGTCGTATGTGCATTCCAAAACAATCTTTTAAAAACCTGACATAAATTGCTATGAAGAATCCTTCAGTTTAAAACTACTACTCATTCAAAGGAAAAGCACAACTGTGCTGAGGAGGGGAGAAAATATTACAAACATGAAATTGCAGAGATTAGGAAGCACCACAAGAGTGTACCTTCAGGGTATGTACAGGCATTCAGGGAAGTTAGGTAGAGGTTAGAGTGATTAAAAATGGCCACCCGATATAACTTAGTTCACCCACATTCAGACCTTACCTTCTGGTGCAGACAGAAGAGCAGCTCCCAGTTGTAAAACATGGCACTTCACACGAAGCAACATGAGTTACAATGATTCCCTGGACCCAAAAGACTTTCACTGTTGGGTCCCAGGGCCTGGGGGATTCAGCTGCTGTTTAGAGCAGCTGCAAACCTGCAGCTGCTCTCCCCTAGTAATGCTCCTTCCCACTCCCAACCCTCGTACTTTTTTTCAAATGGGAAGGGAGATAGGGAGTGGAAGGAACTTGTTCTTGGGGTTGCCCAGCCAGCGCAGGACAGTAGGGCAGATGGACTAGAATCCCTCCCAAGTCGGGGCGG